GTATTTATCAGTCCTATAGTTTGGTTCACTGTTCCACGCTTATTCTGCAGAGCTCTGTTACTCCCACAGACTGTTCCCAAGAGCTGGACGCAGCCACTGTGACACTGCCCACCGGCCCCGCCCCCCCCCCCCCCCACACTTCAGACTGAGCCATCATCCAGGTGGGATCTGACTGAGAACACTATGCAAAGCGTTGGTTTGTGGCCTCTGGCCGACCGGCCCCGTCCCCGAGGTCAGCAGGTTTTAAAACCACCATCATGCTGAGCCAACCAGGACTCTGAGCCAAGAGCCGAGACCAGAAATCATTAGGAAAATGTTTGCCGAGGAACTAAGCGAGGGGAAAAAAAGAAAGAAAAAAGGTTGCGTCCAACCTTTTGGAATCGGACATCCGCTCGTCCCTTCTGGTCGTCCTAGCGCGGGCTTTATCGGTCAGAACCGGAGACTGCGTCCAGTCCCTGGGGTCCCAAAACACATTTCCCAAATGTTATTTTCTAATTATTATTTTTTTACAGGTCCTGAAAAGGGAGTCAAAGGATAACTAACAAAAACGGAGTGCTCGCCATTTGAAGTATAATATACTTTCTTTTTTTTTCTTGTACTATCAGTGTATTGAAGTAGATTTTACTGAAATATGTATTATAAAAAACATATGGATTAAAACTGCCTGTTTTATTCCTGCTGTGGAAGGCGTCGGCCTGTGGTTGAAACTGGACTCTGGGCAGGAGGAGCTTCTCCACACAGGCGGCACATCGACCGTCAGTTTCCAGTAACCCCAGCAGAGATAAGTTATTTCTAAAAATGTTTAAACACAGTGTAGAAAGTCATGTAGGTAATGAAGAGCTCAGGCCTCGAATCCTGGATGCCATGTCTGAGTGAAGGTTCTGAAGAATGTTCCAACAGGCTGGTTACTCCCTGAGATGTCCGAAGCATTTTTCCTCAGCAGAAACCTGGACTGTGGCTAAGGTTAAAGGTACCCGGTGTAGGAATTCCTCCAACTAACGGTGAAATTGTATCTAGCATTCCAACAAATCTGCTCTGTAGTGTCTTTTCAAATGGGTATTGCAGCTACGGTAGCCGTCATGCATCAAGAAGTAATGACAACATGACTTTCACATCATCCATTTTTCTCTCGGGTGATGAGGTTTGTTATTTAAAAGAAATTACAAACTGCATTAAGAGTGTGAGCATGTAATTTATCTTCCAACAAGATAGCTGGTTTCAGTCAGGTGACTCTGGCTCTGAAGGAAACTACATTGTGGATTAGCTAGACAGGTAGACTAGTGCTTTATGTCCCTCTCTGCCATTCTAGGTTTTCAAAATGGCGGAACGCCATGGAAACCTCCGTGGACTTACCCGTCCTGTGTATGTACAGATAGGAAAGTCAGATCATTGTAGAGGTCATTTTACACCAAATTTATAAATGAAGAAAATTATTTTAGCTAATAAAACACTTTTATTACTACACATTGTCCTTTTAAGAGAGCCTGATCCAAGAAAAAAAATAGATACAAAATAGACCACTTGATAAACATTCTTTTTATCCTAAAATGGTCAGAGATAAAACGTCCAGCTCATTTTCGGAAAGCTTTAGTCTCTGCTGCCCCGCTGGTTAGATGAGCTTGTTGGGGGAGGGGGGGTATTCACTCTTTTAAAAAAAAATCTTGCTTCTTGGAGGTTTACAGATTTCCACTTCTGAACTTTGTCCCTTACGTGTCTGAAACTGTCCTTGGACTTTGTGGTGGACCCGTATCTGTGATGTTATTGACTCGGACCTGTCAGACAGCACTTTGAGTACAACCGGGGGGGGGTCTATACTCTTTCTTTTAACGAATTATACTGAGTTTTATTGATCTATTTCTTACCAGGCCTGTTTTTAAAAGATATTTATTACTTTCTTTAGTATCTGCTTTACAAGTGCAGCTAAAGAGGATTGTGTCTTACAAAATCCTTCCAAATTCATGGAAAACTGTGTTTTAATATCCTCTGAATGTCTGTGATTAGGAGTAGTCGTGACGTTGGGATCTTTTCGAAGCTTGTGTGGGTGGCCGTGACCCTGGATGCCTCTGGCTGCGGCGTCCTGTCACAGTGGGTCAGTGTGTGTCTGTGTGTGTGTGTGTGTGTGGACGTTAGGTGTGATGCTGAAACGAGAGCAGGACAGACACAAAAACGCACACTGGGCCTTCAGCTGTCTGCTCGTGTCTCTGAAAATACATTTTTTGGGGTGGATGATGGCTCTCTGACAGCCTGCTGTCACCTCTGAGTTCCTTTCCCTCGGCCAGACGGGAGTTTTTAAGAATATATTCTGGATTTACTGGTAAACTGTCAGCGATGGGCTGGTAATGACCGTCTGTGTGGGAGCCGGTTTCCTGCGTGTGTGTTCATACAAAACAGCTCATCTGGGGAGTGGAGCAGCCTGGAATCAGGATCAAATTCAAATCATCGCTTTATTCATTTTCAGAAACATTAGTTTACAGCAACGAAAGGAGAAACCGTTTAATCATAATAATGGAGCTGAGGAAAATAAATATGTGGAGATGAGCTGCTACAAAGATCTAAACGGCAGATTTTCGGTTTTCCTGTTTCATTTCATGTCAAAAGTAAAAGTCCATCCTGGAGAGGTCCTGTGAGCTCTGCTATGGTTCTGACTAAACTCCTGTCCTCTGCAGATATTTGCTGGCTGGCTGTCACAGTGGCCTGTGCGTCTCCTCCCTGAAGCTGAAGTCGCACAGCAGGGATAAGTGGTCGGAGGGGTAGTGGTAGGAGGGCAGGCGGTCGGGGCCGATCTGCTCCTCGGTGGGAATGTCCAGCAGCCTGTCCACGCTCA